TACATAACTATATGGAAAAAAGGTTTCCATTGAAGCGCGATAGACGTCCTCTAATAGAATTCATAATATAGTTTTGTGACAATCTAGACATGTGAAAAAATTTTCCGTCAAAGCGCGTGACAGAATTTACACAATCGTGACGTGTTTTATTGCTTGCAATTGCTATTTCCGACGGCACTAATGAATCGTTGACAGTATTAATTAAAATTTCACCGAATGATAATTATTTGAAAAATACCTGTGACACGTTCTGAAACGCGACAACATTCCGAGAATTACAATCATAATTATTTATATATTAATTTTCATTAATCAGTAAAATTTCCGCGACATATTAATTTATACACATACATTTCTCGCTTAAAAAGTGCATTCTCCGCTTTACAACACTATACGATTTATAATTGTATATTACACACATACATTTACACATATATTTTATATGTAATAAATCCGTGCAGATTGTAACGTTTTTCTTCAACTTTTCATTTCGCATGATAAATTTGTTCGTCAAATAAATTTCGTTTTTATCGAATGTCACGTTATACATTGTTTCCTGTAATTTTATCTCTTTAAATGCATAGTTTATAATTTATTTCTGCTTTTACGTATTGAAATATAAACGTATATTTATATACATTTTATGAGTTGAAAAAACTTTAACGGAATAAAATGTATAAATGAATTATTATTATTATTATTATTATTATTATTATTATTATTATTATCTCGTAAAACGTTTGGCATTTCGTATTTGTAGAATTATAAAGTGATAGCCAATAAAATAAAATTTAATTAATATAAACTTTAATATAAACAACACTCTTTAAAAATTAAATTTGTTTAATCGTGGAAAATGAAATTATTAACTTAAACAATATATGCGAAATCTGTATGTACGCGAATCTGTAATTTTTATTCGCAAATTCATATATATCTAATTTTATATAAAATTTTATATAAAATAATTTTCAGATCTGAAACAATTCGTAATTTTTTCAAATTGAATACGTATACTAGATATAATATTATTGTACAAGATACAAATATAAATATACACACAAGATATAATAATTGTTAAAAATACAAACTTTTTACAAAAGTAATATTATGCATAGGTAGAGCATAACGTTTTAATCAGAGCGAAATGATTGGATACAGCTGTATGTGGTGCCACGCTTTTCAACGTTCCACTAGCAGCGTTCGCCTTCATGCTTAATTATCCACGCGACACAACGTGGCCGACTTTTGCAAATAAAATTTTCCGCGAGGGATTTACTCGCTCGGCCTCGGAGAGCAGCTGTCCATTGCAATTAGACCTTTTTGCCGTCGACGTGTGTTCGCGGACCCTTTAAATTTCACGTAGACTGCGTAAATCACAAAGGTTAGCTCGACAGGCGGGTTAACGCTATGAGCCGCACCGTGTCGCGCTGTTAAATTTGCGGGTTGCTTCCGCTCGAGTCATCGTGCTCATTAAAAACCGATCCAATTTGTCTTAGCAACTGTAAGGATTTCAGTGACAGCAACCCCGAAACTTGGGTGTCGTTCTCGACGCTGCGGGCGCGATCGACGGCGCGAGCTTGGATCTTATTGTGCCAACTTCGCCCGTCTCAACTCCGTTGCTCGATTAGACTTACGAACTTACATTCAAGCATCCTCGATAATAATTGAAGGCACGTACAAGAAGCAGGATGCACCTGTGTCATAAGTTGACTTTAAGGAGTAACAGACAACTCTTGGTGTTGATGAATAAGAAAAGATATTTTGTATACATAATAAGCGGAAGCGAGCACGTTTGGAGAAACAATTTGGAGACGCATTCCTATATATTTGAAAGTGCTGAGAATCGGCATTCTCTACATTTCTGAAACATTCTGAAATTTATGCGGTACTCTTTTACGACAAAAGAATAGAGCACGGCGGATTTTAAATAAATTGGAGAGATAAATTAGATTATATACACCACAGTATATCTCCGTATTTGTAGATTACCCGTTAGATCATAACGAACAATATAGCGCGCGCGCACGGAGTTGCCTCTTCTTTCAGCAAGACCTAATACCGTCTCCGGAAAGCTCTGACCTGGGAAGTAAAGGGTTATCTGACTCTCTCGGTCGAGTGCACTTCTCTCAGTCTGTATTGGATCTTCTTGAGCCCGGGCGATTTCGAGAGGGATAGGCGAAGAGCTTCACCTCTCGCAGGGTTCTCCTCGACTATGACGAATTGCGAAAGTTTGGTGAAAAATTGGCCGAAGCCAGATAAGAGTGGCCGGGGGTGTATAATGCGTCGTACTTTGGTCGTTGGCCATTCGTTCTTCCATTTACTTTCATCTTGTTAGCCAACTTAACCCGCATTATTTAGCTCACTCTCGGTCTCTTCCTCCGTTTGTTCTTCTTTATTTTTTTTCCCGAGCCGCGCAAGGAAAAGATTTTAAAATAACTCTGTTACTCCCGAGGAGTAAAGTTTCTGTCGAGCTGACAAATGCGAGTATCGTGCGGTGGACGGCGTCGCGAACTACGCGACTTGGCGCCGCGATTTGCGACACGCGAAACTGTGGTATTTAACTCCGTGAACGGACATATTTCGCGGTGGTAATCCCGTGATTTGTATGCACGGCCCGAGGACACTCCGCGAAGCTCGCCGAGCACAGACGAGATATATCAGTTGCAAACAGACTTCTCACTGTAAATGCAACGTGCAATGGACTCACGATAAGAACTCACTTTGAAATCTTTTGCGTTATATTAAATCAGCGGCATAAATTCTTTTCTGTATTACTTATACGCTTTTCTTATGAAGTTGGGTATGCTTAATTCTACAATTGATATAAGATATAGGTCAATCTGTTTCTTTTTTTTTTTTCAGTTCCGCGTTTTTTCACTGCTCTGGATTAAGAATATTATTTGAGATTTAATAAAAACTTGTAAGCCAATTTTGAGACCACAGGGTGACAAAAAAAATTTAATCACAAAGTTTTGTGTCTATCAAATCTTTTGTAATGTATATTTATGTAAACAAGCTTTGAACTATCAGAGTTATATCTTATTAATTATCTTATTAATTATCTTATTAATTAAATATAAAAAATAATAATCAATTTCAAAAATAGTCACTTTTAACTTTGATATAAGCGCTTCAGAAACGCATTCATGGCCGTGCATCTTTTTATAGATAAACTTTTCCAGACAATTAAAGAGTGGCCCTTAGTTCCCTAACTGACAAAAGCTTTTGATGCAAAATCTTTACATTTAATAAGATGTAATTAACATTCTCTAGTGTTTATTTTTTTGTTACATATATCATCTAGATAGCAAGCTGATGATATTTCTCGTTATTTTAATGTCAAAATGACATTAAATTTAATATTGGGAGTACAAATTAGTTCGGTCCGTTTCCCTAAAGATATCCAGCTGTTATGAATGGTTCTTAGTGACAGCTGATTTTGGCGGTTTCAGAGAGATTAAACATTTGCTAATAATATTCAGTTTATATCGCTTTGAGTTTCATACAAAAACCTTGATTTTTACTGTGTTTGAAATGTCGAATTTTGTGTTAACCAAGCAGCATTTGCGGGAGGTTTTGATTTTCTGCTTTAATTGGAAAAAAAATGTGGCTGAAGCCATTGAATGCTTGTCGAAGTTTATGGTGACATTGCTCCAACTGATAAATCATGTAGGGAATGGTTTCGACGTTTCAAGGAAAATTCAGCGTTGAAGACAAGCAGTTGAAGACAAGCCTCGCTCTGGACAGCCAAAAAAATTCGAAGACAAAGAATTAGAAGCATTACTCGAAGAAGATCAGAGTCAAAGCAAAAAGAGCTTGCAGAATCATTGGGGGTAACTCAACAAGCCGTTTCTGTACAATTGAGAGCCATGGGAATGATTCAACACAAAGAAATTGGATGCCTTATGAACTGAAACCGAGAGACGTTGAAAGGCGATTTTTCACTTGCGAACAGCTGATTCAAAAACAACAGAGAAAAGGTTTTTTGCATCGGATTGTGACTGGAGATGAGAAATATTCTACAACAACCCCAAGAAGAAAAAATACTATGCTAAGCTCGGTCAATCATTGCCATCGACCTCAACATCAACATCACGGCCGAACATTCATAGTTCGAAGATCATGCTCTGTATCTGATGGGACCAAAAGGATCTTGTTTACTATGAGCTGCTGAAACCTGGCGATTCCATTACCGGCGATCGGTATCGGTTACAATTGATTCGTTTGAGCTGTGCATTGCGAGAAAAACGGCCGGAATACGAGCAAAGACATGATAAAGTTATTCTTCTTCATGTCGCTAAAGTCATAAAAAAATATTTGGAAACGCTCAAATGGGATGTTTTACCGCACCCGCCGTATTCTCCGGACATTGCTCCTTCTGATTACTGGTTGTTCCGAAGGATGCAGCAAGTCACCGGTTCACTTCTTTCGCAAAAATTGAAAATTGGCTCTAAAATTGGATCGCCTCCAAAGAAGAGTCATTTTTTCGAGATGGAATTCGAAAATTGCCTGAGAGATGGGAAAAAGTAGTAGGCAGCAATGGACAATACTTTGATTTGTTCATTCATTTTGTTTTGAAATAAATGCACAAAAAAACGGACCGAACTAATTTGTACTCCCAATAATATTAAATTAATGACATTAAAGTTAAAATGATAAATCAACTTTGATTAGCGAGATTACAGAGATATTACAGAGTGACAAAAAATTTTGTGTGTTTATCAAATCATTATCCATGTAGCAAGCTGACATTATTTGTCATTATTTCAAAACGACATTAAATTTAATGATATTAAAAAGATATCATTCTAATATCAAAATGATGACAAATCATGTCTCCCTGCAATTAGGATAATGATTTGATAAACATATAAAATTTTGTTGGACAAACTTTTGTGTCGCTCTGTAACATCTCGCTAACCAAATAATAAATGAACAAAACTCGGGTATTTCCCACTTGGATTATTTTACTGATATTTCTGCGATTGTTGTTGCAGTTACGATGCGAGAAGTCGACAGTTCGGAAAGGCGAAATTGTGGAGCGCTGCGCATTTTTGGGGCCATCGAGCGTCTTTTCGTGCGAGTCCACCGGCGCAGCTGACACTTCAGGATCTTCAACAAAGCGATGAGGGTGTCTACAGGTGCAGGGTCGATTTCCGAAACTCGCCAACGAGAAACTTGAAAGTTAATCTCACCGTTATCGGTAAGTATATCGATCTTACTTTTAATTGAACGTAATAGAAGCTTCGTTAAAATATATACATGCGAAACATTTATGCCAAAAACGAAATAATTGATCTATGGCGGTATACATATATATTTGTCGTAATAATTGCTATTAATTTTGACATTTCTTAGATTTAAGAATTATTTTACTTACTCCATGATTCTTGGAATAAAAGTTATTATTTCACTACTTATAACTCTGTGGAATAATTTGTTCATGACTGCCATTATAAATGTTTAAGTAGGTATATGCGAACAAAAAGCACGCATATCAATTTTTCCATAGCGATCTATATCTCGAAAAATCTGTTTGGCACGAAAAGACTTAGATTTTTGATATGGAATTAATTTGAAGCTTGTTAAACTTTCGCTAAACTCGAACAATCATTTTTGTTTGATTATTTCTTGCACGCATTTTTTATTAGCCTTATAAGACAGAAAATTCTTAGAAAATGTTCTAAACATTTCTAAAAAATTATGATGTTATCAAATTGGAACGAATCTATAAATTACTTATTAGGAGTGGGAGACTTTAAGGAACAAAGTGTATACACCTATAAATTGTTATCGAAATATAAAAGAAAAATCTTCATAGAAACTTAATATTGATGATATTCGTTAATGTAATAGTCGATATATGATAATAAGTTAATGTGACGTAATTGGATAGTCGCAGTTAGCAATTTGCGAAACAATCAGTCACAATAATATCACGACTATTCGATAAATGAAAGCTATAAACGGGCAACTCATATATAATGATATAACTGCAAGATATCGACTCAAGTTTTTATTTTGTGACATAATTTGATCTTTTCGTAAAAAACTAGTTTCCGGTTCATTGAAAAAGGAATAAAGTCTCTGTTTTCTGCATCAATCCAAATATACTTCTTAAACTGGTTCATGTGACGGAAATATAATTGTTAATATTTAAAGGTGACACACAATGATATACTATATGTGAGTCGATTACAGTTTACGATTGTTTGCAATGGCAGCAGTCAGCCGCGATGTGACTATCGGACATAGACAAGAACTACGAATAGAGACACTCCTCTCTAATAATATAAATCTTGAGATCTGGACTCGGCAGGTCGTTTTCGTTTCTCAAGAACGGAAACTTGAACTTTTCGCGCGGAACTAGTTCGAGGCTCGTTAAACTTTCACAAAATTGTTCTCGACGGGGAGTAACTCGACGGAACTGACCGCCGATACTCGGCGGCGATCGGGCAAAGCCGGTCTCAAGAATAATCGTTAATCCAGAATTGAAGGACCACTCGTACAATCAGCGGACCATTGAAAGCGATCCTCTGTAAACGATCACGCTGAGGGTCGATTGGTTAGCTCGTCTGTAGTTCGATTCACTCTTTCACGATCATCAAATCGTCGAGTTCCCTTAGTAATAAATCCGGAATTATTTGCGTCGATAAATCGTCGATAATTGGCAGTTGAGTGTTACCCATTTAACGATCACCTATCATGCTCAAGTAATCTCGAATTGGAGATTTACGTGACATTTTGATCTGAATTGATAAATAAATTATTTAACAAGATAATTAGAAAGATAAAATATTATATTCAATTTACGAATATAAGTATTACGCATAATATAAGTATTACGCTTTGTTCAGAATTTATTTAAAGATGATTTATTTATTTGAGGAAATAAAGAATATTTTTTTATCAATCAATTCTTTGTAATCGGTATCTCTCATTTTCGAATATATTTTAAATTATGATTTAAATAATGACGTAGTATTAAATTTATGAATAAATTTCACTTCGAGATAATATAAAATATATTATCTTTCTCTCTTTTTCGTGGAAACAGATAAAGACTTTTCTTTTATTTCTTCTATTTTCTGCGTGAATAACATTTTTATTTAAATAATGATGAATTGCATAATGCATCAGAGTTGTTATAAAATGGAAATATGGACAAAATCTGCTATTGGTAATACTAAATTTGTTTTTTTAATATTAAAATGTATAAACCGAGAGAGATTATATAATTTGAAAAAAATTTATGATGTTAATCTATTAGATAATTTTTTTAATTCTGTTTTTTATATGGTAATATATATATTAGAACTATTTTATATTTACTTTTAATAAAGCGGTATTGATTTTGCTGTAATGAGCTCTCACGTACAGTTGAAATAACAACGTATCATAATATTATTTTATCTCATGTAAAATAATCATCGCGTTTACAACGCGCAACCAACTTGACGGCGCGGAATGGATATCACAATGCGGTAATTAATACTTGATGCCAAATCGATGCGAGGTACGCGTCAACCCGTACAGAAAGTTCAATTTCCACTTTATAGAAAGTTATGCAACAGTGTTTCGCGTTTCCATAATGGCGAATAACATTATCCGATGTACGAGCGAAATCAAACGTAATTACCGTATATGTACGCTTATGCATAATTGCTGGAAGTATTGAAAATGTTTAAATAGAAGCTCGGGAATAAATGGGATATTAATGTTCGGATAGCGCGCAAGGATTAATGTGCGATGAACGAATAATATAATAAATATATTCATTCTCTCCATTCTTGACACAGAATGTCTAATTTTCAAACAAACAACTCGACAAACATTTTGAATAACAAAACTGTTTAAACAATAATAAGTTAATCTGAACTGTTACATGAATATGAATTGAGTGTGGAAAAATAGACTGTTACAATCGAGATTGAATTTTGATATTTAATAATCTTGAATTTTTTAAAATACATCTTTTAATTATATGTATAACTCATGCGTGTCAATTGCCGTCGGACTTGAGTAACTGAAGCAAATCTCTTTGATAAAATTGTAATTCTAAGTAAAATTGTAATTCAAGATAAATATACCAGTTAATGAGCATGACCCAATTGTTGAACAAAAATTTTAGTAAATATCACGTTTTTAATGATATATACAATTCTGAATAAATTTGTTATTAAGTTTTTATAAACAACGAATTTATTTTGAATCATAACATAAAATATATATATTATTAAAAGCTTAGATAATATTTAAAACTTTTTGTCATTTTTATCCAACAAATAGGTCATATCCACTAACTGTCCACTAGTTAGTATCTACATTTATCTTATAAGTTCGTATACAATAATAAGTGCATTTATTTATCTGCCGCTGCCTTTTTGTCTATTATAATGACAATAGATTTTGTTCCTCAAAGTCCGCCATCCTTTAATAAGTAGTAACTTACATCTCTCTATCTCAATTTCATAATACCTTCGATCGTCGATAGTGCGTATTTGCCGGTTTTGTCGTGCGGCCGAACTTGAAGTTCGAGAGATTGCTTCTGGAAAGCGCCGAAAGTCCAAAATGGGCTTTTCGCTCTTGTCTCTTAATAGAACTGCAATATCTTGTCGGTCTCCAAGGAGAGATTCTCTGGTGCACCATAGCGAGTAGCTTTCACGAAGCACCTAACTTAATTTAGCCATCGATCGGCCTTTAAGTCGATTTAAAAGGCGAGTTGCGATTTCATGTCCTGATGAAGACCGATGAGATGGTTTTGAAGTTCTTCAAAATTCATAAAGAGAGGATTATATAAACGTGGATATTAAGAATTTGCGTGACAGTGTAAACTAATCGCATGAAGTGGCTATATCAGGAAATTACAGAAGAAGAACAAGTGAAATTATTAAATTAAATTTGATAAAAAAAATAATAGGAATACAATAATTTTGTATTTCTTAAAAAATATTTTATTCTTCTTAAAAATACTCCTAAAAAAGTACTTATAATTAAAAGTTATTGTAAAAAAAGGATAGACTTTCAAATGTAGGTAAAAATTTTTAAAGTCGTCTCGTTTTTTGAAATCTTTTCGTTATTATTGAAATAATCTTTTTATTAATTTTGATAAATATTTAAATTACAATGAAGAGAACATCTCGCGTTGACCAAATTAATTATCAATTAATCATCATACGTTACTAAAGAGAACTTTTTCAAAACAATCTCGATATATCATTTTTCTTTTTAATTTATCTTCTCTCATTCATCATAAATTTTTCCCATCTATTTGGATGTTAGAAAGGTGCAATTCGTAAACTTCAATTTTCAGTCGAAGGAAATTAATCGATCGAGTTGGAAATATTATGCTGAAGGATTGATTTAGTTTATTGCATAAACGCGTACTAAATACTAAAGATTAAGTCAAAATTGATCATGATTCAAAGTTGGCCAATCCACGCTGCTTTCTTTTAATCAAAATTCGACCAAACATCGCAAAATGACTCGAATCGTCGCGCATCGCTAACTTAAACAATCTGCTCTCATTGTTAGTCCGAGTATCCCGAACTCATCCAAGGGAGAAACGTAATCGAATAGGGGGATACATCTCGCAGGCGAAAGGCCATCGAAACACTGCGATAGTGGCGGAGCTTCGTTTTACGCTTCGACGCGCGCGAGCGCAGTGTCCGTCGGAGCTCGAGTTAATTCAGAGGCACACAGCACCTCGACGTAGAGAGAAGCGAACGACGGACATTGCAATAGTGTATGCATTATATGTATATGTGTATGTGTGCGAGAAGGAAGGAGCAGAGAATCCATTGCCTCTCGGTTATGTATATCCGCTCTCGAAGAGTTGAAACAACCCTATCAAGATTAATTCATTGACGCGATATCCGATGCTTATGCCTCTCTTAATTTTATTTTTTTTCTCTTTTTAATTTTACGCTCTTTCTTTTACGTGAGCGTCTACTGATTACAATTATCTTTCGAAGTACATTTATTCACATCTCCTTCATTCCTTCAATTCCTTTAATTAAGTTTGCTATATCGTTTTCAGTATCCGCCATTTTCAAGTTGCTTATTAAAAAAGTTATTCTCATAAGCCAAAAATAAACCTCGCTCGCATCAACAATGTTTCTCGATGTATCGTGCATACACCTTACCGTCGCGCTTCCTCGTCGCCAACGCAATTTTCCTGCTTCTAGACTTCGAGTCGTTAGC